GGCTCACCGCTGCCAGCATTCGAATAGCGCCCCCTACGGAATGATTAGACGCGCGCTGTTGCGATAGAAAGCTTGGCCGCGGCGATCGAGAGAAAGCGGCGACTGCCGCACTCTCGAGATGCGGCTCGAGAGGAGGGGGGAGAGGGGAGAGCCAAGTGTCGGGGCACTTGGATGCGCGGCCGGAAGTTGGTGGGGTTGCGCCACGAGCAGAAAGGTCGCGACGATGTAACGGAATATATAACCCTCGCCTCCTTCTCGAGTACGGAATTTCGCTCGGCTGCTCGACAAGTTTCCCATTTATTTCGAACACACTCCCTCCCCTCGATGAATGCTTCACTTCCCGCCCCGAAAAGTTTTCGCGATTATAAGTTTGGGTTTGAGGATGATTGTTTTTTGATGATATATGCTTGTTTCGCAGGGTATTAACGGTTGTGAAACAGTTGCACCAAGTGTTTATCGTTTTTGATGCTTGCCAATCAGTGGAATGGAAAATATATATAAAAATTCATTCTTATTTCTCTTGAAGAACAATTTCTTTTCAATTACGAGGCTACTTTCATTTCACTTTCCACGAGATAAAACGGAAGAGTGCCAAAAGCACCTAGGTGAGACGGTGAGATAAATTTCTTCCATTCCAAGATCCAGAGATCGTTCGTTTGGTAAAACAATTTGCCGCGAGGCAACGAGGGAGTAATTTCTTCGACTAATGGTTCGTATCGCTTTTCATTTTTAACGGAATTAAATTCTGACGAGATGGGGCGAGGAAGGGGAAATAATTCGATTAATTCTAATAAAAAGAAATAAATGAGATAAGAAGTTGGAAAGAAACCAGACATCTGTATATCTCACTGGTCTAGGACAATTAGAAATTGCGAAGATATAAGAATAAAATGAAAAGGAGATCCCGACTTGCTTCAATGATGATACACTCATATCTTTTCTCATTTCTACAGAATAATGAATCAATCAGAGAGAGAGAGAGAGAGAAAGAGAGAGAGAGAGAGAGAGAGAGAGAGAGAGAGAGAGAGAGAGAGA